CCTCCGATCCTGGGTCTGCGATCGGTGGGGACGCCCTCCTGCCTTGTCCAGGAGGGCGCCGTCTTGATTTTGTCCGAGATGCGGCCCCCCGACCTCTCGACCACTTCCCCAGGACCGCCTTCTCATACCCAGCCGTCTTGTGACGACCCGAGAGGCTCAGTGAGGGCCCCGAGGAACCGAAAAAGATGAAGCATCTTCGTCTCGTTTTTTTTTTTCGAGACGCCCCGTGCCTGGGCAGGCACCGAGACCCTGGGGCAATTATGCAGGATCGGCCTGGTCGGCGTGGGTGCACATAAGCGGCGCCCGCCGATGCGTGAGGAGTCTGGGCTGCCAGGCCAGGGCGGGGGGTGGCTGCTCCTGGAGGGCCCTCGCGGGCGCGACGCAGGGCACTGCTAGAAGCAGGCCGGAGACGACGAGGTGCGACTGCGACGGACGAGGCCAACCGAAACCAGAGATCACCCTGAGCACGTGGGCTGTTCTTGGGAGACCAACAGTCTGGTGGGGGCGGCCCTTGCAGTCTGCCAGGGGGGGGGGGAGGGGTCCCGTCATCCTCGGGGGGGCCCCTGTGGTCCGATGGAGAGGCTCTTGTAGTCTGGGCGCCAGGGGCCTCTTGTAGTCCAGGGCGGGGTGGCCTTGTAGTCTGGGGGGGGTCCTTGTAGTCCAGAGGGGGCCTAGTAGTCCAGGGGGGGGCCCCTCCGGTCCAGAACCCCAGAACTGTTAAGGTACTGAGAATAAACGCGAAATTCCGCCGGATTCCGCCAGCTCACCACCAGGGAACCGCCCAGCCCCAGAAGTGGCAATCTAATCGTGGGGTGGGCAAGCACGACCGAGCGGAGGCCCTGGCTGACCGCTGGGCACCGAACATGTTTCATGAGTTGTCTCTCTCTCTCTCTCTCTCTCTCTTTCTGTCTATTCAATTTATTATATATATAAGTATACATGCACATTCAAAGCTAGCTGCAATACATTGCAAGCGTCTGACTAATAAGAGCGGGACAACGGCGGGACCCGCTAGACATCGAACAGGGTAACCATGGGGCAACAACAGGGCAACCTCCCCCCACCCCGACCATCACAACACGACTCATGTTATCGGACGTGTTCCTTGCTACCGCGGGTTATGGCCTCTCGCCCACTCGCGCATCGGCCTCGCCCGCACGTGAAGTGTTTATTCACACACGTTTGGCATATCAAGTGTAATGATAGTTCTTCCTTGCGCGTCCGTCTATCATTTTCTTGTAATTTCCCGACTGGCAGTTCGCATATGCTGCAATTCCCTTACTCGTATGGGGTGTTTGCCCATCGTTTCTGTATTGGTTCGATCGCGCTTTGCACTTGAGTGATCTTATGCAATTTTGGCATGCGGTATTCGTCTGTCATGTGTTATGTATTTATACCGTGCGTTGTCTGTCGCTGCTTGCTTAAGCATAATATCTGGCGAGTTCGCCTCTCATTTGGTGTCGTCGTAATTGCTCGGTCATCGAACTTGTCATTGTCATGCAAGATTAGTGTGCGACTTTCGTTTGCATTATTCGTGGGCCAAACTTCCTGTCACTGTCCGATCGCTTTCGTATGTATCTTCGAATGTTCGCTCTGCCGCCTCATACTTCCTGGCACTTCTTGCAAACTCCGCGTGCCGTCCCCATACGTCACCTCGGCCTCTCGTCCAATTCCTCCTGTGCCGAATCTGTGAACACACGTTTCGCCTGCCGTGTTCGGCTGTTGTTTTCGTAACTTCCACGCCGACGCTCGGGCCAAGCCGCCGGGGCCTGCCAGCCGTACGGAGCGGGAGTCCCCGGGACACGTGGGGCCGAGCCGCGGCGGCGTGCAGGGCGGGCGGACGGCAGGACTCACTTGAAAATCCGACAGGTCCAGCCTGTGGGAGGAGGAGGGGGAGGAGGAGGGGGAGGAGGAGGAGGAGGAGGAGGAGGAGGAGCAGGAGCAGGAGCAGGGGCAGGGGCAGGAGCAGGAGCAACTGCCAAGGGTGGCCCTAGGTGCGCTGCTCTGGAGCGGACGCGCCACCCCAACAGCAGCCCCTCCAGGCTCCAGACGCCTGCGGAGATCCTACGGGGAGGCTGGGAACGCACATGGCTGGATTCACACGTGGAACGTCCAGAGGCCCGAAGAAGGGCCTGCAGCCATCGTGCTGCCACAGGGAAGCTGAGCAAGAAGCGATGAGGCTCCGCTGGCCACGCCCAGCCTCGGCCACGAGCAGGGTCCCCGACCAGGATCTGACGAGCGTCCCGAAGACCTTGCTTTCGCACCTGGTCCTTGGTTTATCATCACGACTGTGTGGCTGCAAGGACGTGCGGCCACGTGTGAATCCAGCGCTCGCCCAGACCAGTCACGTCACGTGCATCCAGATTCCTGGCAGAGGGGCGCCCCTGGCCTTCCCTGTTGGCCCGGCGGCGGAGGACCCCCTCGGCGACAGGGCACTCCCGCGCACTGTAAGCACACGGGAGAAAAGAACATGGCCCGTCGGCAGGTGCAACAAGTGAGTCCCACAGGCCCTTCGGGGCGTAGGTGGCTTAGCGAGTGCGTTCTTAGAACCGCTTCTTCCCCGCTGGGGAGGGGTTCTCACTGCTCCTTCTCAGTACGCAACCCCTCCCCCATCCGACCGGCGACGAACCTGGGCCAACGACGACCCCCCCCCCGCCGTCCCTGTCACAAACCCATGCAACATGCACATGGCGGAGAGTCTGGACCACGCGTGGGCACCCCGTGGGCACTGGGATCCTAGGGGGGAGTCCTCCTGCTGTCCACTCGCTGTGCAGGCCCACCACCCCCGTCGAAACGCAGTGCGCAGTACCCTCTGTGCTTCAAAATGTGGACCGTGCGCGGGCGCCCTGTGACTACTCTGCAAGGGCTTTGCGAGCAAACCCTGTCAAAGGACACTGCAAAATACATTCTGGTGCAACATATGTACCGCGCGCAGGCGCCCATGATCACTTCGCTTTGGTTTTTGACAGGGACGGCGGCGGTGCCCTCAGATCGGCCGCAGGCCCACCATCCCAGTCAACACACAATGCAAAGTACTCGTTGCGGCAACATCTGAGTCATGCGCGGGCCCCCGCGATGATGTCTCATTTGTTTTTGACAGGGGGCGGCGGGGGGTGCCCTCATATTGACGGCTCTGTGCGGGCTCACCATCCCTGACAACGAATTCGAAGTGCACTTTGCACGATTTGTGAATTGGTGCTGGTGCTTCGGAGCCCACCCTTCTCGCTCACTGAATGCTCGGCAATGCGCCTCCGAGGGGGCCTTGCCTCGTGAACTCACTGGGATCAAGGCCCCAGGCTCGGATGCTGCCTACGTGTTGGGAGGGCGGGTGGGAGTGAGCGACACGGCCTGCGGCTTTGAGTAGCTCGACCCCTCCCCCTACCCCGTCCCCTGGGCTCGGAACCAGCGCTTCGCAGGTCGTTGGGGCGTCCACGATGGCGCAGATGCCCCCGGGGCGCCTTGCGAAGTTCAATGTCGGCGAACGATGTGCCCACAACACCACATCTTGTTGTGTGTGTGTGCATGCCGTGTTGCCGGCAGCTCCTGGGCCCCAGGGGCCCTTAGAGGGTGGCCATGAGGGCCGCAGACCTGGAGCCGCCGATGCTTCCCCTGGGCTCGTCCTTGCTGGCCTTCATGGACGGCGCGGGCGAGTGGGTGTGTCCTCGATGGGAGCATGCGCAGAGGGGGCATGACCAGGCAGCATCGAATCGGGAAATCCGATCGGATCGAAATGGGCGTCGGATGGGGCCGCATCGGCACGGCATCGAAATCGAATGGGATCGGCCGCGTCAGAATGCACAACAACGCCATGCATACATCGGGATCGGGCCGCATCGGATCGCTGGAATCTGAGAATCGAATCGGATCGAGCCAGGCGAAATCGGTACCGAACTGGATCGACTGGATCGAACTGGGCCCTGCTTGGTGGGACTGGGGGCGGCCAGCTGGCGCGGGGCCTTCGCCGCAAAAGGAAAGACGGGGAAAGCCTAGGAAATTCTGGGGAGAGCCTGAGGCAGTCCAGGGGTGCAATTTGGGATGTCCCCAACTATGCGGGAATATTCTGAATCACAGGAACGGTTCGGTTGCATCTCATGGGAGCCTCCCGTGCCATCTTGTCGGCTCTTGCGAATCGACGCTCGTTGACGCTAAATCGACGCGAGTCGACGCTAAAGCCACGCTAGATCGACGCTAGCCGACGCTAAATCGGCGCTACCTCACCGACTCCCAGACGCTGACCGACAGTAATCGACGCTAAAAGACGGAATTGAAAGGGTATACCAGGCTCCCATGACTTGCTACCGCAGGAGAACCTAAGGAAGCCCAGGGGAGAGCAATAACTGGGTTGTGAGGAAGGAGTTGGGAGGATGAAGGGCATGAGCAATAGCATCTGGATGCGGTGAACGATACCTTCGGCCGCTTACGGGCAATGCTATTCTCGTTCCCCCCCAGCCCCCGTCCCCCCACCCCCAGAACTGTGTCCCTGAACTTTGAGCCACAGGAGCGGGGGTCTTCGGGGGCCTGGGCGGACGCTGGCCCCTCTTGGCTTCTCCCTGCGGACCCCTGGTCTCCCCAGGGGCCTGCCTCGAGGGAGGCCGCCCCCTGGAGGCCCCCGGAAGGGAGACCCCCCCGGCGCGGCCACAAGGGACAGGGCGCGGCCACGAGACTTTGGCGAGGCTCGGCAACGCACGCGCCTCTGTCGGCGGCGAGCGAAGGGGGGGGGAACTGGGAAGAGAAGGAGAAGGCCTTCTCAGAAGGCGGCGGGACTTCTCGAGGCCCTCGCGCCTTCTGAGACTTTTGTTTGTCTTCGGGGGAGGCTTAGACAACTTCTCAGAAGGCCAAGGGACTCCCGAGCCTTCCTAGAAGGCCCTCTCCTTCTCACTTCCCCCGGGCTCGCCGCCGACTCTGGCAAGACCAATCAACATCGAATCCGTAAATCGGACCGGATCGAACATTTATGGAATGGGGTCCGCAGCGGCACGCAGTGCGAATCGACTCGGATCCGCCGCGCCAGGATGCACAGCGATGCCATGCGAACATCGGGCCCCATCGGAACGTCGAACGTCGGAATCGGAGCAGAACGGGCCAGCCGAAGGGAGTGTCCGATCGGATCGATGGGGACCAAAATGGGCTATGCCTGGTGCATCCCCCCCGTGGCTTGCAATGGCATCCTGGAGAGCGCGAGTGCGACCGGGAGGTTGGCAAGCTGGTGCTTCTCCCTCTTGTGCTGCGTCTGGACACGGAGCGCAGACGACGAAGAATGCCCTGCGGCTGTTTGTGCTCCTTCGCCGACAGCTGCAGCACGATGGGCTTGCTGTCCTTGAACCGCGCGAGAAGGGCCTTGTAGTTCGTCGAGCACTCCCCGATGTACTCCGCCTCCGACACGCGGAACCAATCGAAGACCTCGATGACGAAATGCTCTCGCTCGTCCATGTGCAACAAGCTGCCTATGGGAATCGTGCAGCGGTCCCACTGGGGGGCCTTGCTCCTGCGGCACACCTCCGTGCGGTAGACCGGCTCCAGCACTAGCTCGGGGTCCTCCTGATCGGAGCGCACCTGCGCAGGCTCTCGCAAGGCGTGCCACTCTGCCTTAAGCCTGTGCCCAGGCCTGTCCTGGAGCTCGCTCTGACTATGACCTTGCCTCCCTCTTGCCTCCTCTCTCCGACTCGACCTCGGTCTCAATCTTGATTTGGGTCTCACGCCATATTCCAACCTCGATATCGAACTCGGTGTCAAGTGATATTCCGATGTGAAGCCATAAGATGATTGAACGCACGGTTTGAGCTGCCAAGCCATAACACCTGTGTAAAAGCAGATGCTTCCAGTTCAGGGGCGTACCCAACCCACCCGAGATGTCTGGCAACACCATTTGTGAGTCGGCTTGGGGCACCACTCCGCTGGACCTCCCAGTTGCTCACGAAAGTGGCGAAAGTTGCGCGGCTGCCAGCGCATATGGAGGCGAGGCGTCATGAAATAGCAACAGTTGAACGATTGCAAACGCGCAGGGAGGCGAGGTCTCATGGGGATCCGCGCAGGACGCTACTCTGGCGGGAAGGGGATGAGGAGAAGAGCCAGCAATGCCCTACTCAAAACACGCACCCAACGCAGGAGGGTAGGACCAAAAAGCATATGCCTTGCAACTCCCAGGCCAGAGGACCCGATGGAACAGCACAGAGCTTCAGCTTCCAAGTCATAGGATCCCACGTGGAAAACACATGGTCTCAACACATTGTACAAACGTGTGGCTTCAATTCCGAAGCCTCCGCGAGAATTCAAATCTTCGTAACTGTCAGCAATTGAACCGCGGGGATGTGAAGGAACCCGTCGCAAGCCCAAGAAAACCCCAAACAAGCCAATTTCACAAAAGGCCCATTCTGCTTGCGAGGTCGGCGTTTTCGGTGTCTTCAGCTCCCGGTTCGCATGGTTCAATTTGAGAAGACACGGCTGCAGATCCGAGGCCAATGGATTATACACATATGCAGATCTATCTACATGTTAAAACTATGTGTGTGCAGGCTTAGATTTATGTTTGTGTAGTTGTGCATGTAAATATGTATGTATATGTATATGCATGTATATATATATATATACACGTATGTATGTATATATATATATATATATATGTATATATGGTTGTGTATATGTTTATGTTTATGTAAATGTGTATGTATAAGTGTCGGTACATGTAAATGTCAGAGTGAGGGGGCCGAACAATCATTCATTGTCCCTGGGTGCGTGGCTGAATGAGGAATTCGCGGTGGGAGTTCTGCTTGCTGCGTTGTTGTTGTTGTTGGTGGTAGTGGTGGTGGTGGTGGTGGTGGTGGTGGTGGTGGTGGTGGTGATGTTTGTTGTCGTCGCACCCGCGACCCACCCGGCGGCCCACCCCGCGACCCAACCCGCGACCCACCCCGCGACCCACCCGCGACCCCACCCGCGACCCACCCGCGACCCACCCCGCTCGGGCCCGCCTGCTGCGGGCGAGGGCGCGCGGTGGCCAGGCTGCCCCGCCTGGCCTTCCAGGGGAGGCCTCAAGCTGGGACCCAGAGCGCCCGTGGCCTGGCGCCCTTCTGGGATCCTTTGCCCTGCTTGCCCTTGCTCTGCCCCTTGAAGGCCGCCCCGGCACCTCGAAGGTGGAGCATGCGAGCCTTCCACGCCTTCCGGGTCTCGCCCTCGCGCCGCGGCTCGGCGCGCCTCAGGTCGCCCCAGCTCCGACCGCGGAGGCTGCCGCCGCACCCGCAGGCCGCTCGCTCAGGTCCGCGGCCGAGTCCCCGTCGGAGTCGCTCACCAGCCAGACGTCGCGCGACGGGCTCCGGCTCCTCGGCCTCGGCGGTGGAGGGGGCCTCCCAACTGGGGCTGCTGGCCCGCCGCTCGGGACTCGGCCCGCCAGGATCCGCATCGTATTCGCCGAGCCCGCCACCAGCGTCCCAATTGTCAGGGTCGGGGGCCGCGCTTCTGCGCGGCTATGGCCTGCAGGAGCCGCTCCCCCCCTCACTGGGGACGGCTCCCGGCCTGACCTCTATCCCGACCGACGCTCGGCCAGCCGCTGCCGCAGCTCGGCGACCTGCAGCTTGCGGGCCTCGGCCTTCTCGGCGGCGGTCTCCTCGTCCAGCGTGGCTCCCGACGGCAGCTGCTCCTGCGGCGCCAGCGTGACCCGCCGGGCCGTCCGCCAGTTGCCGTCGCGCGCCGCCATCGTCCTCGCCTTGAACTCCTACATCAGCAAGTCCGCGGTCTCGACGACCTCGCCGCGCAGGATGCCGTCGAGCGCCTGGCCCAGCGTGCGCAGGACCCGCACCTCGTCCGCCCCGAGCGTCCGAAGCGGGTGGGCGCCGAAGAAGACCGTGTTCAGGTACTGGGTGACGCACGGCGCGAGGGGGTCGCCCTCGGAGCCCGCGAGCAGCTGGGTGAACTGCCCGTGCAGGTGGCTCAGCCCGTTCTCGAGCAGCGCCCTGGGCCGCTGCCGCGCGATCTTGCGGAACAGGTCGCGCTTGATGCCAATGCCCTGGAACCGCTCGAGGTTGCCACCGCGCTCCGAGTCGCTCTCCAGGCCGTCGTCCACCTTCTCGCCGTCGCGACCCAGGAGTGCCGAAACCAGCGCAGTCGCCAGCCTGCTCCGCGAGCCCGAGCCGGCTGCACGGGCCGGCGCCGCGGCTGCAGCTCGCCCTGCCACCGCCTGGGCCAGCCGCTCGCCCACGCCGCCCACAGGTCGAGCGGCGTTCTTGGGCACTCCCTGCTTCGGCACGCCCCTCGCGGACTTGCCCCCTAGCCTCGCAAGGCGGTGGTCCAGCTGCGGGTCCTCCGCGATCTCCGCGAGTCCAGCCAGCTCGTCGTCGAGGTGGCTCGCGCCGGCAAGCTCTGCAGGGGTCGCCGTGCCGCCATCGCCTCGAACTCGCTTCCGAGGAGGCTCCGCGATGGGCTCGTCCTCCTCCTGACCGTCGCCGTCGAAGAGGGCGTCCTCGGGTCCAGCTGCGCCCGCCAGCGGGCCACCCTCGGCGGGCGCGGGAGCCATCACCAGGGCCCCCGGGGCTGCAGGAGGGCAGATCGACTTCGCCTGCTCGCGCTCCACGTCCCGGCCGTCGAGGAGCTGCCACACGTCGAGGTGCTCCACCTCCGCGCCCAAGGGAGCGACCGCCCCGCAGCGGCTGGCAGCACACACGCAGAGGTGGAAGACTGTCGAGGCCGGCCGAGCACCCCTCTGGCCTGCAACACTCGCGTACCAGGCGAACCACGGGTCGCTGGCCCCGACGTGGCGCGCCTTGAAGAACCTGCCGAAGGCGTGCGGGAGGTACGGCACCTCCACCTGCAGCATCTCGACCCCTTGGGGGGCACCGCAGTCGTCGCGCACCCGCGCGAGCACCAGCGCGCCCGCGGGGAGCGGGAGGCCCGGAGCCAGCTCGCCGTTGAGCTCCGCGTCCAGCCACGCCCCGCGCGGGAAGGGCCAGCCGCTCGACGCTGGCGCCGCCCGCTCCATGCTCCAGGCAGCCGGGCGTGGCTCCGGCGACTGCGCCGGCGCGGGCGCACCGGACGCGGCAGGATACAATAGACAGAGTGGCTCGGCAGGGGCCACGTGACGAGCGGCACCGCCCGGTAACTCCCCTGCCTACCTTGAGCCAACACAGCTACGGAAGATGGACGCTGAGCTTCCATCAACGGCGTCGCGCACGCTTAGGCGGACTCCGCATAGGCCTCGTGGAAGGATACTATATATATATTTATATATGTTTGAATGTATGCGTGTATATGTGTATGTATGTATGTACGCACGCACGTACGTATGTATGTATGTATGTAGGTATGTGTATATATTAGACATAGAAACGGGCGAGGAAGGGCCCAAGGAATAGTTATTCATGTCTAGGACTTTACATCCTGGGAGTGGAGCTCTGGCAACACTGAATATCCAGCTCTACCCACTGGCCCGGTGGCCCCAAGCGTACGTAAGCTGACAATGAGTGTCCTGTAGGACAAGTTAATGTCAGGGAAACCGAACAAGAACAAACCGCCAAGATTTTGAATCGAAGCACTGGTCGCGACAAAAATTGTTGCCGCTCCTCTCCTCCAAACGGCCCGCGACGAACGAAATCCATCGGCTGTCGATATCTGGCCGGGCGGGATCTGCGCGGGAGTTGTTCGATAAAATGGGTTACCCAGCAGTGCTGCGCACCCATTGCCTCAGACGGGAGTCCCCCTCCAGAAAACACCCATTGCAGAGCAGACCAGAGTTTCGAACAGAGTCCTCGCAGCAACTGCGCTGCACGGGAGACCGCACGGCGCCGCCCAGCACTTCAAGCCGAAAGTGGGAAGGATGGTTAGCACAGCAAGCGCTGGCTGGTGGAACGCCCCATATGGTACTCATTTGATCGCACTGAGCAAAGCTGACAAAACCCTCGTCGTCAGTCATTCGTTGATCGTTTGGTTGATTGATCCAATTCCAAAAGGTGGGCGGACCGCGGGGGGACGGATGGGGAACGAGGAATAGAGGAGCAGCAGGAGTCAAGAGAGCCTTTTGGGTGAAACTTGCTCGGGGGGGACATTTGGTCTCGAGTTGGCGATGCATCGCCGATTTGTCCGCGACAGGCACCCGACAGCAGAACCGCGCGTTCTTGGGCAGGGTTGGGCACCCAGGCTGCGATCGGTGATGAGTGTGCGACTACGAGCGTGTTACTCCCTGGGCCAACCCCGCTCTCGGTACCTCTGTGGAGACGCAGGGCGGGAGGAAGGCAGACCCAAACATCCGAGGTCGTGATTTTGTCATATTTTGTCACAACGTAGTTCCCCAATCGCGCTTTTCGATAACTCGAAGGTGTCAGGGGAGGCCAGGAGCCCCGCAGCCTGGTACTTGCACTTCTGGATCACGCAGTAGGCGTCTGGGCTGCCTCGGCCGAAGCTCTTCCACCTGCCGCCGGGCGCGCGCGGGCACGCCGCGACTTGCGCGGGGGGACGGACCTGTCGATACCGGCGGCGTGCGGGGCGGCAGGGAGCGGGGGGACGCGCTCGTGTTGGGCCCCTCCTGGGCCCAAGATCTGCCCCAAACGCGCCCGCGCTCCCGCAAGCGGCGCGCGGAGAGAGTGAAAGCGGGGACGAGCAAAGGCTTCAGAACCCTCTGGTGCCCCAAGTCTGCCCCCCCCCTCCCGAAGCGCCGACCTCACCACCGGGAAAACGGTTTGGCACGGGAGATCAAAGGGGTCCTGGCGAAAACGGGTCCTGGTCTCTGTGGGTTTGCCCGGGGCCCTGAGCCAGGGGCTCTAACGAAACGGGGCGTCTGCCCCATTGGGGGAATAGAGAGGAAGGAGGGAGAGGGGGACACTGAGGAGGCATGAGGAATGAGGGGGGAGGAGGATCCATTCTAGCAGCGGTTTTTCATGTTCGCATCCTCCCTCCTATTCACCAGCTCTTCCTCGTTCTCTTCTTCCTCCTCCGTTCCGTCGACCTTGAATGACACGTCCACAAATTGATCGATGAGGATCGCCCGAAACAAGTACTGTAATGCCACTTCCCCCAAACATATATGTTGGGGTCCGTGGACAACGTTGGTTTTGTCAAAGGTCTGAAACACCTGTCTCTGGAGACGATGCCTGTGGCCGACATCTGCCACGTCTCTCTCTTTCTCTTTCTCTCTCTCTCTCTTGTTTCTCTCTCTCTCTCTTTTTTCTCTCTCTCTCTCACGCTCTTGGGGGGGCACGATTTGTCCGCCCCAGTCCCGTTGTGTGAATCATCGCAAGCAGAGTGTAACGCAGAAAGCACAATGTAGTGACAGAGGACAATATTAGAGCGATTTTCGTCGTAACGCTTCTCTCGTCCGTAATGCTGCATTTAGGCTCAACCCGCTATGCCACCAAGGGTACTTCTGGGGTGGGCAGAGTCCCAGAGAGCCACCAAAGACACGCCAGAGGCCAAGGCCTAGCGCTCACGACGAAAACATCATCATCATCATCATCATCATCATCATCATCATCATCATCATCATCATCATCATCATCATCATCATCATCATCATCATCATCATCATCATCATCATCATCATCCCGAAGCGCCGACCTCACCACCGGGAAAACGGTTTGGCACGGGAGATCAAAGGGGTCCTGGCGAAAACGGGTCCTGGTCTCTGTGGGTTTGCCCGGGCCCTGAGCCAGGGGCTCTAACGAAACGGGGCGTCTGCCCCATTGGGGGAATAGAGAGGAAGGAGGGAGAGGGGGACACTGAGGAGGCATGAGGAATGAGGGGGGAGGAGGATCCATTCTAGCAGCGGTTTTTCATGTTCGCATCCTCCCTCCTATTCACCAGCTCTTCCTCGTTCTCTTCCTCCTCCGTTCCGTCGACCTTGAATGACACGTCCACAAATTGATCGATGGGGATCGCCCGAAACAAATACTGTAATGCCACTTCCCCCAAACATATATGTTGGGGTCCTTGGGCAACGTTGGTTTTGTCAAAGGTCTGAAACACCTGTCTCTGGAGACGATGCCTGTGGCCGACATCTGCCACGATATCAGCTGCTTGCTGCGCACGAGCTCATCCGCATAGACGCAAAGCATGCCGGCCCAATTCATCTGCTCGTCTGCGAAGTTCAAGGGGTTGTCCAACGGCTGCGCAAACCAACCATGATTCTCCAGTGGCTGACCAAGGCCTGCTGATCGAGCGACAAATACCTGAGGCAAGTCTAATACTAAAGAAATGGTGGAACCTGGCCTAATTACGCTTTCGCGTGCTTCCGAGCCAGTATATGCCATGATACTGGGAATCCCACCATCCCTTTGGGCTAAGGTGGTCTGGCGATATCTTTCTCTCCTCTTCCAAAGCCCTCTTCTCTTCGGAGAGGGGTACCCCTCCCCCTTCGCCTCACTGAGGTCTTTTGTTGGAGGGGGCGCGAGAAGTTACAGCGTCCAAGATGGCCCAGGATGGCTCCAAGAGGGTCTCCGATGCTCCAAAATGGCCTCCAAGGCGGCTCACGATATATCAAGATGGTTCAAGATAGCTTCAGACATACCTCCAAGAGGCCCGACGAGGACCACAATACGGTTGTTTCCAAGTGCTCTCGGAGCCCCCTGGGGCCCCCAAAGAGGCCCAAATCCTTCAAACACTGGAGGAAAATTCATGATGTTTGCGTGCTCGCCTTTTCGCTTCGGGTGCGCTTTTGAAGCTTCAAGATGGCCCCATGATGGCCCAAGAGAGCCCCAAGAGGGGCCCAAGAGGCTCCGCAGACGGCCCCAAGAGGCGATTTTGATGGCCTGAACGAGGTGGGATGGAAATCGGCGACCCCCCCTCCTTTGATCGAAGAGCGCCCCAAGAGGGTCCCACAAGGGCCCAAGAGGCGGTTTGCCTCCTCCTCCTCCTCCTCCTCCTCCTCCTCTTCCTCCTCCTCCTCCTCCTCCCCCTCCTCCTAGTGTTCCTCCTCCCCTCGCCCCCCTTGTGGCCTCAGGGATGGCCCGAAGAGGGCCTCTAAGGCCACTCCCTTGCTCCCAGAGCACTCTGTTCATCCTGGTTGCACGCTTTATTTCACTATATGTTTCTCTTTGTCCCTGTTCCTGTCAACTCATAGACAACGTTTCTGAACAGGCAGGTGGGGAAACGCCCAGAGTGAATAATAACTCAATTGCGACCCGCCGGAACAATAAAAACCTGTACCGGACCATATCACGGCAACAATCAAACGAATATCAAGCAGAAGCGCTGACCACCAAACCCATGCGTACACGTGCAATACTTCACACACGTGTATGCCAAACCGACACGACACAACAACTGGAAACAACCAAACAACTGCGCGACATCCTGAATGCAACCACGAGAAACGTAAACATGCACACACGCTCCCATCAGTCCCAGAGGCACCTGAGACCTACGATGGGCGCACGCACCGCACGCTCACACACATGCATCTTTTTTGGTGTTCCTGTGAGGAGCATGTCATTTTTTGAAGGGGGTGCGACAAATGCTCTGTTGTCGCCAGGCGCGAGCAGCCATCGCTATGCAACTGCATGGGATGAGGCCGTCGATCGACGGAACCTCCCAGAGCCATCAAACGATGGAACTCCCAAGGGCCACCAAGCGATGAACCCTTGTTGCCCGGCAGCGCTGCAGCCACTCCCACACCCTGCAACCCTCAAACGGCTGCCTTCCTGGTGAAACCGCCTCAACCGCGGAACGGAGACTCCCCCCGCAACTACGGAAAGGGAGACGCTGCCGCGGTCGCGGAACAGCTGTATTATAATGGTGCCACGGTGCACTCGAACGCAGCCTCATCTAGCAATAAGATGTCCACCATCAGTAAAACCATGTATCATCATATCCAAAATGTTGCCCAAGACTCCAGTTGCAGGCCGCCTGATCCAGCAAGATGGCGTCTTGCCTCCAGCACAAAATATCATCTTTGTGCTTGCACACAGGTTATGTGTTTTGGGGGACCAGAGTGATGAAGCTAGGCGGGAGGTCTGGACCAAGTGCTTACCGGGAGGTCTGGACCAAGAGGTTCCCGCATAATGCATCTTCTGAGTCATTGACGACGCACGGGTGCCAGGGTAGGCCGTCGCCCTGGTGGACTTCTGAGTCTGGCCCGTGCCTGCGACCGCGGTGCGGCGACACAAGACACCACGGCCTGGCACCAGAAAAAACACATAAAAATAGCATGGGATTGTAGGAAGATCGCATGTCATCTTTGACCTGCCCCAGCGGCGTGGCCGATACTGATGCCTCCAGGGCGGCCTCGACCGCGAGGCTGTTGCGCCAGTTCGGATAATTTGCATATTTGGCGCATTTGGGCTGGCGACGGGGATACTGATGACTGCACTGCAATGCCTTCGTCGATATACAAACGTGCTGTCGCCACTGACCGCCAACGACCACGCACCGCCGTGCGGTCGAGGCTGCCGAATTCCAGGAAATGGGCAGTCGCCCCACCTCGTCGTAACGAGTATGGCTGCCAACTGGCATCTGGTAGGCGGGCCACTTGCACCAGCTTGGCGAAGTCTCGCCGGAAGGCATGGCCATTGTGCGGATAAATGCGCTCTCCAGGTTGAAGGCGAGGGAGCAGTCCACGCAGGTAAGCGAGCGCGATGGGGTCCGTCAAGACCACGGACTCCTGCGTTGTTGCCCGTCGCTGTCCTCATTTAGTCGACGGTAGACTGAACAAGGCTAGACCTGGCCCGTCAGGCAAGATGAAATGCGAGGCCTGCATTGTCAGCATCTCTCCCGTTCGTAATCAACAGTGGAAGGCAACCAACAATACCAAATCCAAGCGTTGCCATCTTGAACGGCGGCTCCCACGAGTGCCATAAGAACAGATACGGGAAGAGGAGTGGCCCGTTTGGGCTGTTCGCTCTTGCCCCAGGCCTTCAAAAATCTTCGACTTCCATGAAGGTACCCCGCAACCGCGGGGAGAAGCAACAATGCCCCTGAGCGGGCATTATCAGCAAGAGCTTTAGGTTCTCACTCCTGCCATGCTGATTCAATGAATTGGCAAAAGGCGCGTATCCATAACCGATGGTGTAGATGGTAGCGGATACCCATGATGAGTGCAACATGCAAAGAAAGATCTCGTGGCTGTTTTGTATTTTTCCAATGTCCTTGGTGCGACGATTCGGTCTCGCAAACGTCCTAAACTTGCCCTGTCTCGCCTGCGGTCTTGCTCGGTTCTCCTAGTCATTGCTCACGTGACGGGGCATCCGCTGGATTGAGGTCCGCGCGGAAATACCCCCAGAGCGGCCAAAAAGATGAGGCGAGGAGAAGGGCGTTGATGCGTGTAATAACGGGCGCAAGTCTTTTAGAAGCTCTGCGGCCCTTAGCAAGTGCCCCCAGCGCCACGAAGCTGTCTGCCCCGTGAAGACCACGACTGTGGACGCTGGCCTTCGCTCTGAGTCGCCACTGGAGGGCCGCCAAAATGGCCCGAAGTTCAAGGACATTGATGCGTTCCCCAGGGATGCTCCAAGGAACGCCAAATACACGGCGCCACTTCCACCAAGACTCCTGCACCGTCTGCTTCGGGAGGAGCCCCGGGTGATCCATCGGGCCGTGCCTCCGTAGCTCACGCCCTGCGTGAGCTTGCCGCCGCACCAGCTCACGGACCATGTCCACGCCAGAGTTCTCCACCTGCGAGCGCGGACCACCCCCGCCTACGACGAGGAAGTCCTCAGCCGGGTCCCGCGCTGGTATGCCACTAGCTTCAAACAGCCTGGCCAAGAGAAACGCCGCCACTCCCTTCTGGAGAGCGTTCCCGAGCAGCACGAGCCGTGCATCCTCGCGCTCAGCGGGGCTTTCTGCGGTCCGAAGTGCTCGTTCCGCGTGGCCCAGCGGGTGCCCGAGGAGCTTCTCCCTCTCCCGGGCGTTGGGGTATCGCCAATGCGGCTCCTCCGAATTGTTCTTCACCATGCCGTGCTTCCACTGGTACTGAAAGGGAGGGAATCGATAGTTGTCGTCGGCCCAACGGACCCTGGCATCCCAGTCGCACGCATCAAGTCCAAGTGAATCTGGCGGCGGGCTGGCTCGCGGGAGCGGCGCCACGAAGGCCGGGAGGGGGGCGGCCGTCGTCCGCTGCCATCCCGGGTCCACCCATGCCTTATCCAGCAGGCGCGGCTTAGGATGGAAACGCAATGTGTCCCTGATGGTGCCCGGGGCCACGCTGAACCCATCTGCGGCTCGGGTCTTCCAACTGATCCAGTAGAGCCTCGGCCTCTTCATTGGGATTCGGGCCGACGGGCAAATCTCCGCGGGCCTCGCCCCGAAGTGCTTCGAGATCGTCCTGTACGCGTCGTCGTCGATCCCTGCGTCGCACTCCGCGCATGTAGCTACTCGGATTCCTGGGTCCATGACCAAGCTGCTCAACTCCATCGCCAACCTCAAGATTTCCTGGTGGGTCGACACGTGACCGTCGAAGCGAGCCAGGCGCGAGTCAGGGCCCCGTGTCTTCAGCGGGATAATCCCTCCCAGCACCCACAGCTTGACGTGCGGGGCCTTCTCGACGATCTTCCGCAACTGGTCCTTTCCGACGGCCCGCGCCTCCCCCTCCAGAATCGCTGCGGGCCATGCTGCCTCCACCACTCTGCTGGTCATCGTGTCGGCCCCGATCGCGCAGTACACCTCGGGGTGAACCCCGCAGGCCGCCAGCGCAAGTCGTGGCCCTCCGATGCCAGCGCGAACCTCGATTAAGCCAACCTCCATCAGGTGATTCGCATGCGCGGCCCGCCTCAATGCCAAGGCTTCCAGCCCCAGCGGGGTCAGCGATGAGGCGCGGCAAACGCCCATCCCCGACTCTGAGGCATCGCTGGTCACGACCAGAGGGCTCACATGCGCCCGCAAATCCATCAAACACAATGGTAAAAGGTAGACAGCTGTGCGCATTTCGCCCCGGACTTCCGGGGTCAACTCCTTCCGCAGCTTTCCCGCTGGCTGGGGCGTCAACCACGCCCAGAACTCGTGGAACACGCAACTGAGCTCGCGGCGGGTCTGGAATGCTCTCGCCCAGCGACCTCCGAATATCTGTGCCTCTAGTTGAGCGCGCGGCCCGGGGGCCGTGAACCATGCGCTCAGCGACACCAGCTCTGCCACCGTGGATCGGGGAAGGACTTGCCGGCCCAATTCCCCAGAAATGCGGCAGCCAAGCACGTCTAGATCGAGAACCCGACGCTCCTCTTTCCCCGCCTGCCGGGGGATGCCCCAGGCGCCCCACATCGCGTGAACGGCGGCCGTCTCGGCGGGCAAGTCCTTCAGCCTCGCGAGCTTCGTCAAGTCCTGCAGCTCGCCCTGGCTGAAGCCGTCGAGGTAGACCGTGCAGAAGGAGCGCCTATCGGGGCCCATGGATCCCGGCACGGGCGCGCCCCGCCGCACCTCTCTACTTGGATCCAACCCTGCACCCATCGGCGGGGGCCGAAAACACAAGTTGCGATGAAAATGATGAAGTATACCACATGCTGACTGCCATCCCATTGCCATCACGGCCATAGCTGGATAGACTACCTCCTCGTTGGCCAAATCTGGTCAGAATTCAGCTGCGATGCGACCAGGCACCGCGCGCCCAATCGCCTGATACTTCAACCATTCAGGTTCCATGCGAAAATTGTAGATGGCCGAAGTCATGTCGCTCTCTGACCACACAAGGACCTGCTCATCCTCCAGCTGGATGCCGGCCCACTGCATGTGGTACGGTAGACACCTGATGTCCGCCTCGAGGACCTTCTGGTAGCTGTTGGTCGGGATGGCGGTGAGGATGAGGCGCAGAATTGCCTTGTCCGTGACCGGCAGCTTCTTGTTGCGCTTGGGGACGCCGAACAAGCCATTCAAAACTGGCGTGCCCTTCACTTTGAAGACGTCACGCTCGGAGATGAAAGAAAAGATTCCCCTCCGAGCTGCTCCTTGGCAAATTCGGTGCCAGTCGGCCTCGCCGTCGACCCACACCTTTGCAGTGGGCACTGCCGTAGGCCACTCCCCCTCGGGCAACAGGCAAAGTTGAGGGTTCTCCAAGTTGTGCTTCAGCACGCCCTGGACAAGCCCAGTCGCGCGCACCCTCGCTGATTGTCCTACTGGGGGCAGCGCCGGTTCGATCTGCTCCCACGTAAGTTTCTCTGGGACCTTCATCTCCTCCCCCTGGTAATCCAGTCGGGCGTGACGTAAGGTTTCAGCCCAGTCGACGAAAGGGATGTCATGGCCCTTCACGAAATCGCCCACGTACAACCTCAACTGGTCCAGCGCTGCCTGCTGGGCTGCTGATTCGGCCCTGGCTGGGCCTGCCCTTGGGCGGATCCCCGGGCAGGGGATCGCAATCCAGGTAACTCCCCTCTGCGGCCCCGGCCACTGTTCAGATGGTTCAAAGACCACTTGATGAGATACATCCACGCCTCGATTCCAGCCTGCTCGACCACCTCTGCTTCCCCCCGGCTTGCTGCTAAGGCTGGCGCTTTCTCCGCCTCGGTGGGCAACGGCGAGAGCGGAAAGGGCAGCAGGTCGCGGACCGTCGCTGCCCCCCGCTCGACGTCACAGCACCTCTCCGCCACCTCGCAGAGCACCTCTGACTGCCGATGCTCGCAAAAGCGGAGATGGCACTTCAACGCCAATCCCACCTCGGCAGGGGAAAGGCCCCCCAATGATGGGAGCTGCCCATGCTCGCCTGCTGCTTGGGAAGCTACGGACCGATAGAGGGAGCAAAGGGCGTCGCCGTGGCACGGCTGGTCCAGGCCGCAGTGGCAGTAGAGCTTCGCACCACGAAGCTCGCGAAGACGATATCGTAGCCAACCTCCAGCGTCGTTCCGCAAATACTCCGCGTACTTCTGGGTGACGTCGTGCCTCTGCTGCTCGGACGCCCCTGCCAATTTCCAGGTTTTCCGAACGCCCCCCCGGCTGCGGCCGATATATATATATATATATATATATATATATATACATGCCCGGGCTTGGAATTGCCGCGCCGATGGCCAGGTCGTTCAAGCAGGCACGAGTCGGGACGCCGCCTGGCTGGTTCATGTCTTCCTGCGTTTCCGTCCTCTGCCTTTTCCCTTCTCCTGTCCTTTCCCCCGTCCTTTTCCTTTCCACGGCTTCTCCGAGCCCTCCTGGGTGATGGCGGACGGGAGGTCCTCGGCGTCGCTCCACGATTCGCCCTGCTTCCACCAGCTCGCCTCCGCCTGGCGCGGTGGCTGCCGCTGCGGCTGCAGGCCCGCCTTGGACCTATGCTCGTCGCGCTCGGTCTTCGACGCCATCGCCCTCAAACTCGGCGTCACTGTCGTCACCCTGGAGTCTGGAACCACCTCCAGGTGACGTGCGGTAGACCGTCCTCCCTCTTCCTGCAAAGAGGCTTCGAGGGCACGGAGCCTCTGGACCAGGTCCCCTGCCTGGACGATCCGGCCGGCGAGCAGCTCGTCGAGGATGGCCCCCAACGTCCGCAGCTCCCGCTCGCGCCGGACGGGGACCTTGATCCCAGGCTGCCCCAGCGCCCGGTTGAGGTAGCTCGTCCCCAAGCTCCTCGTATCCATAGCTCCCTCGGTCTCGCCCTGATGGTGCGACCCGCCCAGGTGGCGCTGCATTATCACGATGGTGGACTGGAGAAGTGCTCCTGGCCGTTCCTTGGCCGTCCGACGCACTGCCGTATCCTCGTGCGCCCCGAGCTCCTCGTCGTCGCTGCTGTCGGTCATCTCGTCCTCCTCGTCGTCTCGAACGCTGCGAGCCTTCCTCTGCCTCCTCCGTTTCTGCCTTTCCTCGGCCTCCACGATCAGCTCGGCCGTGGCCTCGAGAGCGCGTTCGGCAAGGACGCGGCACAGCCACTTCCTGCCTTTCCTTGCGCTCCCACGTCTGGCCCTGATCGCTGCGAGCTTCTCCCGCAACAAGTCGACAGCGCCCCCGAGGTCCTGGAGCGGCCTCGTCGTGGGCCGCCCGGCTGCTGCTGCGGCCTTCCCTCCTGCTCCGGGACCTCCAGCTCCAAGGTCTCCTGGGGTCGCCCCTCTCCCGCTGGCTAACGGGCGAGCCTGCACCCCCAGGTCGTCGGCGAGGGCGGCGACCTCTGCTCCAAGGTCGTTCTCCCCCGCTCCTGCGGCCAACCGTGGACCAGCTTCCGCTGCCTCTCTCGCCCCAGGCGCGGGCTGCTCCATCGTCCTGGCCGTCCTCTTTTTCCTCCTCTGGTTTGCCTGCTCTGCGCCGCCGCCCCGCTGATGCCCAGGGCGCGCACGGCCGGTCCATCGCCGAGCGGCAGCAGGGGCGGCCGCGGCCGCGGGTCGCCTCCGAACCTTCGGAAGCATGCGTATTGCAAATGCTCCGTTTGAGTCGGAATTGCTACATCCCATGCTCCCTCACTCACACCACCTCGCTTCTCCCCGCTTTACGGCACGATGCTCCTATTTTGTGTCACGTGTATACTCCTACTCGGCCATCTAGCTGCCCGATACAAGTAGCGACTGGATCTGGGTGGTTCCATCCTGCTTTGAAACAAACGATGCAACATCGACGATCCTCTCTCCACATGGACGTCTTCGCATCGACGTTGCCAAATTCGTGACGCGAGCCGGGCGGGGCGCGCATGCCGCGCAAAAGGGCGAAATGTAGTCCTGGTCTTTGCGCCGTGCTAACTCATCCTGAATGTTGAGCTCCACTTGGGCGCGGCGCCCATTTTCCACTCGCCAACCCAGCGACACGCGGGTGCACGAAAATGGAGTTCTCGCATCGGCGCCGCGCAGATCTCGCTTAGAGCTTGCGCTCCTGCCCATGCGCGGCGAACATAAGTCGTTGAGGGCGGGGCCGCGTTCGAGCGGGCGACGCGTCGCCCTTGCCAGAATTCCGTGCCGACTTCGCCTGTATGTAGCGATCCCGCGCGGGCGCGGCGTGTGTCTCGCCTGCCGAAACACACGCAGGCGGCAGCGCCAGCGGGTTCGCGCAAGAGCGGGGGAAATGCTGTGCACGCCTACTCGCCGCGCATCTTGTGCGTGACAGTGGCAGTGCTGCTTCGGCGCGGCGCATGCTTCGTCTTCGCCGCGTTCCTCGAGCATCTTCCCAAGAGGGAGCATGTAGTCGTGGCCTCTCGCCGCAGCGCCGCGCAACAATCTTCTGAAGTTCCGCGCCCGCCCGTGCGCGGCCTGCGCAGCGACTCGGCGAAGCCAGGCGGTGGAGAGCCCAGGGACTGCAGCTGGGGCCCCGGAAGAGCGCCCTGGGGGTTCACGCGGTGACGGGCGGGGAGCACGAGGTCCATCCAAAGGGAACCGCGCACACACACACGCACACACGCACGCACACACACCAACACATACACACACACACACGCACACCCACCCACACACACACACACACGCACAACTCGACGCACACGCAAACACACACACACACGCAAACGCGCACACAAACACACACACACACACGCGCACACACACGCAATACACACACACGCACGCATACACGCATACACACATACACACACGGACACTCACACACGTCATACAAAGCCACACACATTCGCCCACACTCGCTCACATTTGCAAACGTTTGAAGCATTCGCACGCACCCACACACATTCACACACATTCACAAACATATTCGCGCACATTCGCCCACATTCGCATACATTCACACACATTCACGCACACATTCACGCACACATTCGCGCACACATTCACGAACTATGCGCGCAACCATTCACGCACAATCTCGTGTATACATTCGCACACCTCCACATACACTGGAACGACTTCACGCATGCATTCACGCATACATTCGCACACATTCACGCACCCATGCGTACACACATTTGAACACACTCACGCACATTTTCGCATGCATACAACCACACACCTCCACACACATTCACACACACACACATACCCGCATGCACACACACGTTCACACGCAATCGCACAGACACACACACACACACATCCACGCCAGCATGCACGCACACGCGCACGCACACACGCACACGCATATGCACACGCGCACTCACACACACACGAACATACACAACACACACACACGACCCACACACACCACACAACACACATCAACACTTTCACACACTCACACACGAGCACGCACGCACACACACATACACACGTGCCCATGCACACGCACACTCACACGCAAACGCATACGTACGCACGCGCACACGCACACGCAAGAGCACGCGCACACAACTGCACACGCAGGCGCACGTGCACACGCACACGCACACGCACACGCACACGCACTCGCACACGCAGACGCCCGCGCAACAGCACACGCACACGAATGCGCGCACACACGCGCACGTGCACGTGCACACGCACGCACACACGCACGAACACACACACACACACACATCAACGCACACACACACACACAAACGCACACGCACACGCACACGCACGCGCACACGCGCACGCGGACGCGCACGCACAGGCACACGCACATGCACAACCGCACCCACACACACAAACCTACACGCACACACAGACACAGGCGCGCACGCACACACGAACGCATGCACGCACACACGCACACACACATACACACGCATACGCACACGCGGAAACGCACACGCATACACGCACACGCACACACACACACACACACGCACACGCACATTCTGGCGTCGCGGCCTCGCGCGCGGCGACAGGACGTGGAAGGTCGGAAAGCAGTGAACCGCGCGCGTGTACGCCCGGGCGAACACCCAGAGACAACACGCACACACACGCACACACAAACACCCACACCCAACACACCCACGCACGCACGCACGCACACACACACACACCCACACGCACCCCCCCCCCCCCCCCCCCCACACACACACACACACACACACACACACACACACACACACACACACACACACGCACACCCACACACGCCCGCCCACCCGTGCACCTAAACACCCTGCACGCACGCACGCGCGCACGGGCGCACGCACGCACGCACGCACGCACACGCATACACACACTCACATGAACACGAGCACACGCGCACACGCGCGCGCGCACACACACGCACACGCACACGCACGCACGCAACACGAACGCACGCGCGCACGCATGCACACACACACACCGAAACACACCGAAACACACCGAAACACACACACACACACACGCCCGCACACTAAAACACACACACGCCCGCACACACACACACACACACACACGCACACACACACACACACACGCACACACACACACACACACACACACGCGCACACACACACACACACGCGCACACACACACACACCACACACACACCACACACACACACACACACACGCACACACACACACAGACACTTTTCGCGTCGCGGCCCCGCGCGCGTCGACGGGGCGTAGGATCGGCGGCGAGCGGGGGGGGGATGTGAGAAGGAGAAGGCCTTCGCAGAAGGCGGCGGGGCTTCTCAGAAGCTTTCCAGCCTTCTGGGGGATTTTCTGCGTCTTCGGGGAAGGCTTAACGAACTTCCCAAAAGGCTGGGGGACTCCCGAGCCTTCTGAGAAGGCCTTCTCCTTCTCACTTCCCCCCCGGGCTCGCTGCCGATACAAACGCACATGCGCACTCGCACACAAGCTCACGCACGCGCAGACGCACACGCAAACGCACGCAGACCGACACGCACACATGCAGACACACACCCACACACCCACACACCCACGCACACATATACACACACACACGCGCGCACACGCACACACAAGCAAATGCACACACACACACACGCGCGCACGCACGCCCACAAACACACGCACGCGCACGCGCACGAGCTTCCGCACACGCACACGCGCACGCTCACGCCCACAGGCACACGCACGCGCACGCGAACGCGCACGCGAATGCACACACACGCACACGCACACGCATCCGGCCACGCACACGCACACGTACGCGCACACGCCCACGCACCTGCATACGCGCACGCTCACGCACACGCACATGCACAAGCCCATGCACGCCTGAACGCACACACGCACGAGCACGCGCACGCGCACGCGCAAGCGCACGCGTACGCACACGCACACACGCCCACACGCCCACACGCCCACACGCACACACGCACTCACGCACACACGCACTCACGCACACACGCACTCACGCACACACGCAAACACACACAGACACACACACACACACACACACACGCGCCCGCGCGCCCGCGTGCCCGCACGCACGTTCGCGCGCACGCACACACGAACTCACGCCCACACGCACACACGCACACACGCACTCACGCACACACGCATTCACGCACACAAGCACACACGCACTCACGCACACACGCACTCACGCAAACATACACACACGCACACACGCAAACACACACACACACACACACACACACGCGCGCCCGCGCGCCCGCGTGCCCGCACGCACGTTCGCGCGCACGCACACACGCACACACGCACTCACGCACACGTACACACGCACACACGCACTCACGCACACACGCACTCACGCACACACGCACTCACGCACACACGCACTCACGCACACACGCAAACACACACACACACGCGCCCGCGCGCCCGCGTGCCCGCACGCACGTTCGCGCGCACGCACACACGAACTCACGCCCACACGCACACACGCACACACGCACTCACGCACACACGCACTCACGCACACAAGCACACACGCACTCACGCACACACGCACTCACGCAAACATACACACACGCGCCCGCGCGCCCGCGTGCCCGCACGCACGTTCGCGCGCACGCACACACGCACACACGCACACACGCACACACGCACACACGCACTCACGCAAACATGCACAGGCGCACACACGCACTGACGTACACACGCACTCACGCCCACACGCACACACGCACACACGCCCACACGCACACACGCACTCACGCAGACACGCACTCACGCACACACGCACTCACGTACACACGCAACACACACACACACACGCGCGCCCGCGCGCCCGCGTGCCCGCACGCACGTTCGCGCGCACGCACACATGCCACACGCACGCACACGCACGCACACACGCACACACTCACGCACAACGCACACACGCACACACGCACTCACGCACACACGCACTCACGCACACACGCAAACACACACACACGCACCCGCGC